TCTCTCTCTCTCTCTCTCTGTGTGTGTGTGTGTGTGTGTGTGTGTGTGTGTGTGTGTGTGTGTGTGTGTGTCCTGTATATTCCCATGACGTGTCCGTCATGCACTCCACCTACACGGTGGTACGCCAGGGTCCGGTCATATCCCAACAATACCGTTCCATAGCCACCCAACTCGATGTACCTTAATGCGGAATTGACAGGATGGCTACAGTGCCCACACGAACTTTATTCCTTTGAAGCAATCAGAATATAAAAGCCCGTAAATATCCGTGCCAGAATGCAATATTAATGAGAGGATCAAAGGGAATCATTACATATTTCCAGTTCATGATGGGAAGGAAAAAATCAGCGTGGGCAGGGTACGATCAAACATAAAGGCTCAAACGGGAGGCGTTTTCATGTTCAATCAAGGTTAAAGCAGGGAGCGTAGAGGGTTCTTCGGATACTCGAGGTTCAATTGAAAGCAAGGGGGACAGCGAAAGACGGGAAGATTTATATCAAAACTGGGGTCGAAAGTATTCAGTAGTATAGAGCGTTCAGGGATACGAAAGACAAGGTTCAATCGACCTTCTTCAGGAAGGGGTATGGGCACGGGGGGGTATGATCATTAATCAAGGAAATCACCGCACTTCCATGGATCAGGTTAATCTGGGGAGAATCAATCGGGTTATGGTATACGTACAAGAGGTCAATACAAGGCGCGTTCTGTCTTCAAACTGGGTGGGAGGGAGGGAAATGAAAAAAACAAATTCCATTACAACGAGAAGATCCCATTCAGTCGAATCCAGAAGTATCCAAAATGATTCCCAAGAAAACCAACCATTCGATGAGAACTGATTCACTCAACACAGACGAAAAGAGGAATACCCACTAAAGCGAGAAGATATCTTCCAACAGAATCAAAACATATTCCATATTTTACCAAGATGATCGTAAAAACCACAATCCTTAATATCAAGCAGATGAACCGAAAACCAATCCACGGGCTTCGCGATTAGGCTAGGCAGAACGTCTGGGAATAACGATGGGAGCTCGGTCGAACTTCATGGAAGGAATAACGCCGCAGGAGGGGTGTGGCTCCCCTAAAAGCTTTTTCGCCGTTGCCACTCAACCGGCTCATCAGAGGGGTTAAAACCTGCAAAACAGCACATCCATTTCACAGTCCAACACAGACAGCCATATCCCTTTCCACACACACACACAGAGGAGATTGAGGACCATGTACCGCTTCTTCCGCCGCGATATCCTCCTCAGGTTCCGGCGTGATTGGTAGGTCCTCCTCCGCTCCAGTTGTGAGCTCCCAGTCTGCCATAGCCGACGCCTCCGCCCGCTTCCAAGGTCCTGATCCACCGTATTTGCACTAGGATAGATTCCGTATAATGCACCTGACTCATTCAGTTCTCGCACCTCAGAGATCCGCCCATCAAACACTTGCTACTTACCAGGGATAATGATCGCTATATATACTCAAGGGAAGACCTAACAGGGTACAGTCTGCCAGGGGAGGGAGATCAGTCGCATAAGCATACCCCCAACATCAATAGTGCTCGTGTGGCGGGTGTGTATCATCGAACTCCCTTACCGAGGTATGAAGGAATCAAAAAACCCATCCTAGTCATCTACCCCCGGGGATCTCTAATTAGTCGCCGGAGATACGGGAGATATCCCCGTGCCTTGGGTGACACCAAGTGGAGGGTTTCGTCCGTGCTCAAAAGCTGAAAAAACACAACAACGAAGGAGGAAGAAGACAACAAGGGAGGAAAAGACAAGAAAGGACAAAGGGGAGGAAACAGAAAAAACGAAAAAACGAAAAAAACGAAAAAAAACAAAAAAAGTGAAAAAAACGAAAAAAATGAAAAAAAGCGAGAAAAAAACGAGATGGGTTATCACTCAGTCCCTCGGGAAGTATCGAAGGTGGCTCGAGGTGATTGCCGATCCGATCGATACATACCGGGCTCAAGGCCCATTAACCCAGTGAGAAACAGGTATCAATCCATTCCACCCGTGGTTCCCGTGCCTGTGACTCCTCGTTCAAATGGGAGGCAGGTATGTTCGTTTTCCCTGTGATTGTCCCTTGAGTTCTCCCGATTTCCTTCAAAAAAGGGGATCCGCCCCGATATCCCACGATTGGGAGATATCGAAGGATGACGAGGTACCCTCCTGCTCGGTCCGTAGGTCCAAGGCTCGAGGCTCGTTGTTTTTCTCCGTGAGAGGTGGGTTCAGGGGAATCTGGTTGGTTGCTTTCCATTCCGTTCGCTGGGGGGTCATAGACGGGTGGGTCTGTCGGCCCGTGCCTACCTGTTTTGCCGGTTCCTGGTTCGAGCTTGGTCGAAGAGCGGGGTTCCCCTTTTTTTCGGTATTAGTCCGCTCGAGGTAGGTTTATAATCTTACCCGGGTCTGCATATTTCCGGGGCTTCTCTCCGAGCCTCCTCCCGCCGCTTTGTCCTTCGAGGGGTGGTTTCCTAGATTCCTGTGTATGTGTGTGTGTGTGTGTGTGTGTGTGTGTGTGTGTGTGTGTGTGCTCCGTATTAGAGATTTCAAGACCCTTAGCGAACCACAAAGGAAGAATGACGACAGGCTGTCTACATTTTTAAGAACAGATGAGCAGAAAGTTCATGACCAGACCACCGCATACCTTTTCAAATCCACTATGTGCGATTGGTAGAACAATCGGTGCAGTATCCGCCTGAGAGATCAACCGGCCGATTCCCCATTTGAGCCTAGGCAATACCAGGTCATCATTTTGCTTCACCTTTCCTTCAGGGAAGACGTGAACCTGCAATGCAATCAATGTGAGGGGGCGTAGAAGGGGTCCACAATTTGATTAATCTTAATGGCCAATCAGTCCATGCAGTTGCAAAGAGATGAACACAAAAAGGGAAAGGGAAATCATACGAGAGGAGGATGAGAAGGGGGGCGCACATAGACGCCGGAAAAAGCCAGGAATGCTGCTGCTTCTACCACTACTACTACTACTACTTTCATGCAGTTGCAAAGCGAGGAACACAAAAAGGGAATGGGAAATCATACAGGAGGAGGATGAGAAGGGGGGGGGATATAGACGTCGGAAAAAAGCCAGGAATGCTGCTGCTTCTACTACTACTACTACTACTCCTACTACTACTACTACTACTGCTGCTACTGCTACTGCTGCTGCTGCTGCTGCTACTGCTGCTCCTGCTGGTGTTGCTGCTGCTGCTACTGCCTGTGCTGCTGCTGCTACTGCCCTTGCTGCTGCTGCTGCTGCTGCTACTGCTGCTGCTAGTGCTGTTGCTGCTGCTCTTGCTCCTCTTCCTCCCCCTCCTCCTCCTCCTCCTGCTCCTCTTTCTCGTGCTGCTCCTGCTCCTTCTCCTCCTCCTGCTGCTCCTGCTCCTGCTCCTCCTCCTTGTCCACCTCCCCCTGCTACTCCTACTCATCCTCCTGCTACTCCTGCTGCTCCTGCTGCTCCTGCTCCTGCTCCTCCTCCTCCTGCTGCTGCTGGTGCTACTGCTGCTGCTCCTCCTCCTCCTCCTCCTCCTCCTCCTACCCCTGCTACTCCTGCTCCTCCTCCTGCTCCTCCTGCTCCTCCTGCTGCTCCTCTTTCTGCCGCTGCCGCTGCCGCTGCTGCTGCTACAGCTACTGCTACTGCTACTGCTACTCGTACACCTACTCCTACTGCTACTGCTACTGCTCCTACTCCTACTCCTACCACTCCTACTACTACTGCTGCCACTCCTGCTGCTACTCCTGCTGCTACCACTGCTGCTACTCCTAATGCTACTACTGCTGCAACTACTTCTGCTTCTACTACTGCTACTACTACTGCTACTACTGCTACTACTGCTGGCCTGAAGGATGTTGTCCATCATCCATTATGGCAAAGACGATCGGTTCAGCAGCCAGAGAGATTCCCTTACGCCTTTCGCCAGACATAAGAGATGGGTGTATCTGCCCTGAAATTTGTCCTAAATACAACTATCATGACGGTACATTATGTGCGGGGATGGAAAACGGTAGTGGGGAAAATGTGTGACCATCAGAAAGGGGGAGTGCAATCATCTAAGTAAACATTTTGTGAAGTTGAATTCTTAACATCGATGGTCTTGAAAATTACATGATATATAGATAAGTCTATTATCCAGTAGCCATCATGTTCAAAGACAAGGAGTCCAACTGCCAAAGTTTCCCTCCACTAGATAGGAGGATAGGACCTGGATTGAGAATAGCATGCAAAGCAAACAACCACCTACCCAATCACCAACATCGAGCTTCTCGAGTGTTTCCTGCATCCCCGGCTGGAGGATTCCGGCCCCACGACGAATGGGAATGCACTTTCCTGCACAGTAAGCAAAGCAAACAACAGAGGAGCATAACAAATCTGAACCATCTCACCAAGATAAATCCACCACAACCTCTCTCTCTCTCTCTCTCTCTCTCTCTCTCTCTCTCTCTCTCTCTCTCTCTCTCTCTCTCTCTCTCATCCTCATGTATAACATCTCTCTCTCTCTCTCTCTCTCTCTCTCTCTCTCTCTCTCTCTCTCTCTCTCTCTCTCTCTCTCTCTCTCTCTATGATACACAAGCACAACCCCCTCATGAGTGGGTGAAAGTCTGACAAAACGGTGTGGCACAGTCGAATGTTTTTGTGGAGTTGCGTATAACAAAAATGACAACTCAACAGTCTAACAAGGGCGCCTACAAAAGGTTAAGGGGGAGGAAATAAACCATAGTGGACGAAAGACAGTTAAAAAAAACACCTTCACGTACCTCATTTGGCCCAAAAAAAAGAGCTGAAGGTGCCACATTTGGCCCTAAAAGAGCTGACAGTACCTCATTTGGCCCAAAAAGAGCACATTTAGCCAAAAAAAAGCTGAAGATACTACCTACGGCAAAACTGGCAATAAAAATACCACCTAGAAATGACACTAAAGATACCACCTAAAAATGACACTAAAGGTACTACCTAAAACTGACACTAAAGGTACTACCTTTGGCCAAATGGGCACTAAAGGTACTGCCTTTGGCCAAAGGAGCACTAAAGGTACTGCCTTTGACCAAAATGGCACTAAAGGTACCACCTTTGGCTAAAATGGCGCCAAAGGTTCCACCTTTTTTGCAGTGCCAGCCAAAAGGAGGCCCGCACCGGTTTGGTTTTCTTTGGCGCGCAGGGTGTTTCAAGGCCCGGGAAAAACTGACTCGGAAGTACTGGTTGTTTAAACCACCAGTACCCCAGGGGGTCTTAGGCCCCCTCTAGGGAGGCTCTGAGGCAAATGCATATCGACCTGCGTGGTGCATCGATTCAGCCACCGCGTTAACCGCCTAAAAACGTGGAGGTACTGGTGGTTTAACTCTTCTCATCCTGCTCCAGCACGACACCAAGGCCATCGTGCCCGGCAATTTTCATTAACACTTGTCATTTTGCTCCAGCACGACACCAACGTTGGCGTCCCCCGCAATTCCCATTTCCGACCGTTGATTTCAAAGATCGACGACCAGAAATGAACGATCTTTCAAGTGGAACCTCACCCAAAACATGTTCCAGAGCCCCACCGTATCAGAACATAGTAACATACTCAACAATAGGACTTTCCTCGGGATGTATCTGAGCACAATTGAGACCCTCTTTGGTCCCCCCAAAGCCCTACTGTGAGGATGGCTTTTATTTCTCTGCCATGTGCCCCCCCCTCCCGGCCCCTTGCATTTTCCCCCTCAACGGAATGCATGAGCATTGCTTTCTGCATCGAGCTTCTTCCCATCAGAATTGTTGAAATATCTTCTCGGTGCAATCTTTTTCCTTTTTTTTTTGCCTTCTAGGTGCAATCTATTTGGGCAAAGACACAAATTAAAACCATCATAATTAATAAAAAGGAAAGCTGTTCTATGTTGTTTGAAATTCCATCCATCCATTCGGTCAGTTCTTGCTACTAAACTTTGTTTCTTTTTTTCTTGTTTTACTCATGTAGGATTCGAACTGAGGTCTGTATTTCAACAGTTCATGCATGTACCAACTGAGCTAGGCCCATTGGTTCATGCTAAACTTTATTTCTTTCCACTCTAGGGTTTAGGGTTTCAGATTCAGAACACTTACACATCCTATGTTTTGACGCACTGTGCAAGGACAATAAGCAACAGCGAGATGACAATTCCAGATTACACCATCACATTGAAAGCCAGATAGTCACACCGTGTCCAGAGAGCAGCATTGCACCAATAATACTCCAATGGAGGTTCATAGTACTGAAAACCAACGTCATGGAGAGCATACTCTCTCCTCATCAACACAAGAGTCCAGTCCCTTCACTCTCCTACTTGGCGCTCAGCGCCCAGCCTACTCCTAACACAGCTACTACAGCCTACTAATTGACAATGCAACTGTTGACATCAGCAGCAACCCGAAGTACTTGAAGATGTCGCCCATGCAGACCATCGCCAATACAAGGTAAGTGCCCTCACATCATCATCATCATCATCATCCTTCACCTATCCCCTGACTTTACTCCCACATCTGTCCTCTCTTACACCCAAAGACCACCCCTGCGCCTCACTGTATATCCAAGCCCAGCCTGCTATGAAGGCTGGCTATGGCGCTGCCCTCAGCAGCGCCCTGCTTCAGGCTGGCTATGGCGCTGCCCTCAGCAGCGCCCTGCTTCACCACACGACCGCACGTGCGCAGCCTCTTGCTCCCAATGCCAGCAGCCAGCCCGCAAGCTATCGCTCCAGCAGCGCTGCCGCCAGCCAGCAAGTGACCGAATGAGGCTGCCAGGGGAGAGCTCTTTCCTTTATGGAAAGAGCTGGCCTGCTCGTGCAGCCTGGCTGCACTGGCCTGGGCCCAGAAGCTTCCGGAAGGCCCCAGGAGGCTGCCTGTGTACAGCAGCTACTGGGCTGCTGGGCCTCGTTCGGTTGGGCGCCCAACTGTCTCTGTATGAGGCTGCGAATCACGCCCAGGGCCTGCATTCTTTGGAAAAGCCCGGAAAGCCGTGGAAATGTCTTTGTTGCCCGGCCTGAGTTTCTGTCAACCAACTGGCGCATCGCAACTGCCTGGACCCCAAATATGAAATTGATAGTCGAGGGCCTCTTGCGATATGTCAGGCCCGCCTTCACTTAGGGCGGGCACCTCCGCCTTCACTTAGGGCGGGCAATGCTGTAAACAGGGCCCCATAGGCCTACCGAGGACCCTGATCCTCACAGCTGTTACTACTCACCAATTATATGCGACAGGATCCAAACTCCTGGGCTGTTTATTACCGGTTGTATGTGTGTCGGATTCACCTAACCAGCAGCTGTGATGCTATTAAACCACCAGTACGTACCGCATTTTTCGTACCCTCCGGCCTTGAATGAATTTGGACCGGAGGGGCAGGCCGATTCGGCTTCTGCGTTAACAGCGCCCCAACCGGTAGGTACTGGTGCTCTAATAACTGACATTATCGATCATAATGTCAGCTTATCTAAAGTACCAGAGTGGCCCGGGCCCACTTGCCTGGCCGGGCTAGAAATGAAAAATAAAATAAAAAGAATATATGCTTTGGGCAAAGAATTCCGATGTGACCCCCTGCATCAAAAGTTGTTCAGTTAATTTTTCTGCACAAGGTAATTTTTTTGACAATAATACGATCCCGGCCAATTTCAAATTGCAAAATTCACGAGAAAGCACACCCCTCCCAATTGCAAAGGAAGTGAATGAACTTGCGGGAAGGGAGAGATAAAGAAGAAGACGAAGAAGAAAGAAGAAGAAAGAAGAAGAAAGAAGAAGAAAGAAAGAAGAAGAAAGAAAGAAGAAGAAGAAGAAGATGTACACCAGCAAAAGACAAATGATAATCCCTCCTCTCGCCAATCAACTCCTCCTCCTTGCCGCCTCCACTCTTATTCAAACAATAAATAATAATAATAATAATAATGATGAATGGCTGAACCAGAGTCAAAGTCCGAATCCCACTTCTACTGCTTGGCATAACTAGAGGTCCACCATAGCCATGGCCTCCGTCTTCTTCCTCTTCCGTCAGGCCGCGGCTATGGCGGACTACTAAGGGCCTGGCCCTGCTGTGCGAAAGACAATGCAAAGCAGCTATGTTCGCTGCTGTTCAGGCCACCATGCCTGACTCTGCCTTGAAGCCTCCTTGGTGCGGCGCAACCCCCACTGCGGCCTTCCAGATGCAGCGCCTAACAAGGTGGTGAAGATGGTGTCCGCCATAGCCAGGTACATACCTCGCCACTCTCCTCCCTAGTACCCTTCTTCTCCTCCTCCCAGAGCTGGCCTGCCCAGCGCTCTTCCTCCCAACAGCCGTCTGAATGCTAGCGCCCGCTCAAGCAGCTTGACGCACAACCTTGCATACCGCAAATGCTGTAGAGACCAGCGTTCTACCCGAGGATATAGCAGCCTACCTGCCTCTTGGGTGGTGACTTCCAAGCCGCATGGCCTCTAAGCAACTGGTACCTCCTAAATTTCGGAGGGAAACATCATTGCAGGCTATGATATCGTCCGCACAGGCCCTAGACTAGGCTACTTGGACCGGTACCTGCCTACTAGACCTAGCCTACCAGATACTGGGAACTTTTGTCTTCTTCTCTCAGCCGCCAGTCCCCGACACATCTACCGCTACTTGAGTGGTGCCGGCCTACCTGCCACTTGAGTGTTTTCCCCCGCTGCTCTAACTGTCGCGGGCCTACCCCCCGACTTGACTGTTTTCCCCGCTGCAGCCCTCAAAGTCAAGGCCACAGGGAAGTACTGCCCCCCCTCGAGCCTTCCAAACAAACAAGTGCCCTGGCGGGCCACACACACACTCAGACCGACAAGCACTCAGACAGGCGACACACACACACAGACTTCGAAATCATGGCAGAATGCGGGAATCTCAGCAAGGCATTCATTCCAGCGGCAAAACTCAGAAATCAGCAGTGTTCTCAGTCTGTGTTTTGGCGGGTCATTGCACTCATGCAATTGGGCAATTGGGCCTTGTGGGCCCGTTTGAAAAAAGAAAAAGAAAAAGAAAAGACCAAGTCGGGGAAGGCCCAGTCCACGGGCTGCTGACACTTTGTGGAGGAGGGCATGCCCACAGCACTACTTTTTGCCGAATGTGTGAAGCCGCTTTCCCGCTCCAAGTACAGTTTCAATTTTTTTCTTTTTCTTTTTTCTTCTTCCGTGGACCTGACACCCCCCCTGCCGTAACGCCCTCGCTGAGGGCATCCTCGCACACCAACTTTGGCGTGCGTATCTACCCCCTATCACATCCAAAGGGGTGTTTGTTTGTTTTTTCTTTTTCTTTTTTGTGCTTGTGAGCGCGTCGTTTTTCAAAATTCTGCCACGCTTTTTTTTTCCCTTTTTTTCAGAGGAGTACCAGA